AGCAAGACACAGAGCTAGCAGGTGTTCTACAGAGAACATGGCAGGCTCAACAAGTCGAGCTTTTCCTCGCCACGATATGGCAGTGGCAGAGGCCGCCAGCTACAGCCACCACTTGAAAAAAACCCAAACCAAAACAAAAGGGAAATCAGCCAACTGCCTCAGAATTTTGGTCCTAACAGTGCAACATTTGCCACAGAAGAGTTCCTGGGGAGGACTGGAGCCAGGAAAGAGTCAGCATGGTGCCAGGAGAGGAACACACCACAGGACAAAAATCAGTGGCAGTAAGTGACTGGAGGAAGGAAGACTTTGCTTTGGGGTTGCTGCCTAGCTGTGTTCTTGGGTCAATTTTGTTCGTGTGCCCCTAAGCCCAGGAGATGGGTGAACTCCTGCCCACCTGCAGAGATGCCCACCCTTACCTGTGGCACGGTGTGCACCTGGGGACAGGAGCCACGGGGCTGGAGCGCCACCTCTCGGCAGGTCGCAGGCAGCGCTGCCTGGTCTCCCTGGAGCTGGGCAAGGAGAGGACACCAGGAGCACAAGTCCTCCAGCTGCTCCAGAGCCTCCACACCATCCTCTTTGCTACTTCTCCTTCCCATGTCCTCACCTAGTTCTTGGGCTGCTTACAAGAGGTAAGAGAAGTGGCACAGAATAATCCCACGTGGGGACGAGCAGCATGGCTTTTGGTAGATTGGCTCTGGAGCAAGCAGAGGGGACAAGGACTACAGGTGCTCACGAGATCAGACAGCTCCTCAAACCATCTCAGCAACGCACCCTCGGTCAAGATCTGAGCGCCCTCCAAAAACAAGCACAACAGTCACCTGTTGATCAACTCAAAACCTCCCCAGAGCTCCAGCAGGACATGCATGAAGGAGAAAGCCTGACTGCTTTTAAAAGGCCTGATCCACCTCCTGGCACCAGACTCCTACAGCCTGGCTGCTCTCTGTGAGACGGTACCCAAGTGTTTAACGGGCCTTGATGGGCCTGTCCTGTGTGAGGTTATCCTGGATTTCTAAGGCAGCCAAAAATGTAAGTACGTACAAAGGCATCCAGCAGCAGTGAGTTTCAGAGCTGAACTGGACATGCTACAAAACATTTCCTTCCATTTCAAGCCAGACATATCTCCTACAATCCCACCCCATTTTAAAAATCTCTGTTTACAACCCAGTGCCTCTCTCTCAAGAGAGTCCCAGTGAACTCAAGCTTTCCTCCTGCAGAAGCCAGCCCCGCTAAAACTTTCCATCTCTTTCTACCATTTCCTAGTTCAATTCAGCCTGTAAAGTTTAGCACACAGACACATTCAGTTGAGTACAATTTCTTCTTCTGACCACCTGGTGCCTCGCTTGCCTGGAGCTGTCTACAGGAGCAGTCTATACCATTTCCTGCTCAAATGTCACTAACCACCCTAAAAGAAAAGAGTGGGAAATACTCATGTTCAAAAGGCAAAAATAGATCACCTCATCACACCTATTTGTGTGCCCAGCCAGAGGGGAAGATGAAGTGGCAAGGGCTTGTCCCAGTGTCACTCAGGGTAGGCAGGATGACACAGCACCTCTGTGCGCACAGGCACAACATCCTTTGGCCCAACATCTCCGTGATGCTGCCCGCACACAAGCCTGGGTTAGATAAAAGCCACTGGCACAAGTCTGCGCTGCCAGCCTCCAAACAGAGCTGTTCTCCACTCCAGCTCTGTGGGACGTGCATGGGAAGCTCCACACTGTCAGCAGGACAATAATCCCTGAAACTTCTGTCCCTTGCCCCAAACCAAGACCTACTACAACCCACGAGACAGTTTCAGGGAACAAAACACAGTTTGAAAGGCAGCCCAAGGAGTCACATCCAGTCCAGCCTCTTTTCTACTTAGCTCAGTCACTAAATATATCAAGATTATCAACAGAAGGTATTAAGATCCACTGGGCAAAACCAGCACCCTCTCCAAACTCCTTGTGTTTCACTGTCCTCGTTCTTCTGTTTTAACTTGTCTGCAGTGTCATTTGAAGTTACTAGAGCTTCTGTAACACCGATAGCAACTCCCACCTTGGACCAGCTGGAACTGATAACACCTTCTCTATTTCATCAATACCTCATTGGTGTGGCGAGTGCAGACACAGAGGAGACCCCTCCAGCAGTGGTGCAGCAGAACCACAGCAAAACACAACCAAACACTTGAACTCCTTGCACAAAGTCTCCACAAGAGAGGGGAGATGCTTTGTGTACCCAAACAGCTTTTCTCCTGCTTCATCTCCTGCCTTCCTCCAGGCAGCACTGCACACAGTGGCATTAAAGCAAATCTTGGGGGAAAGAAGGAAAAGAAGAGAGGAGAGTGAAGACAACTCAAGGAAGAAATATCCTGTGCTGAACAGGACCAATATATTCAAGATGAGATTAGGCAGCAGGCAAGAGCTACAGATATCTGCAGAGAATTGTGTTTTGCCATAGAAATCAGGCAGAAGCACAACAAGATCAAAGTTAAATCAAGTTGAGGGCAAAACACCAGTTTTAAAGTTAGAGTCACTCACACAGCTGCGAGAACCAGCCTACCAGATTACAAGAGATGTTTAAGATCTTCCACACAACTCGAGCTGGATATAGACACTGGCTAAAGGTCACCAGGAAACTGGATTTCCACAACCACTCGCAGCCTTCCTACCAAGTCATGCAGCGTGTCATCAGGGCAGGCATGGTCTGAGACCTTCCCATTCATCTATTCCACACGCTGGTTTTCAAAGTGAGACTGTTTGGGAACAATAAAGTTTTAAAGTCTGCAAGATACTCATATGTGTCCTGCCCTGATTATTGCTTTTAAAAAGATAAAGACAGAATCTAAAAGAAGAAACCATTAGTGGTTACTGTGATACTTCCACAGAGACTAGATATTTCCATAAACCTGTAGGGCAGTAAAGGAAAAGCATCAGTGGAGGACAAGCTACTTAATATCGCAGGTTCAAACAGCAGTGATGGCTTTACAGCAAATTAAAGATGGGCAAAGAGGTGTTCTGAAAGTTAAGTTGGAGAGAAGAGAGGAGATTGCTGCATACAACTAAGATGATGAGCTAGAAACTGCTCATCCATTGCAAACACTGCTGCAAAATGGGGGCTTAGTAATGTCTTGCTGATGACTTGCCATGTCTCACTCCAGATCTGGAGCCAAATATGAAAACTCCATGAGTTTTAGTGACAGGCATATAAGAAAAAACTATGTCTTGGAAAACAGGAAAGGCTTAAAAGATAGGCAGCTTTAGCACAGTGACCCAGAAAATGACAGATATGAGGCACTGGGTTAGAAAAGTGAGATAGTGTTACTGTCCAGACATAAAAAGGCCAGAACAGGAAGGAATACAGCAGAGAGACAGGTCTTTAATCAGTATCTGCACATGCAGGAGATGCCACAAACAGGCCAAAATTTAAAATTCTTTGAATCGACCACAAAGGCCTTTCATACGTCAGCCTGCATCATTCAGAAATCTCTGGGTGGTAAGCAAGACAACACACACAACCGCCAAAAACAAGATGAAACATCACTTGCCAGAGCGCCCAAGATACGCTCGAGCTCCGTCTCAAATAACTGAATGCTGATGTAGCAGCTGTCCAACTCCAGAACAGAGTACAACCTTCTTCTCAGAGATGCAAGTTAAAGTCATGTTCTACTGAACCAGAAACTCACTTTTGCCCAGGAGGTATCTCCTTACTGGTTAGAGAAGGCCACTGGCTATGTAGTTTGCAAGCCAAACCAGATCTTACAGGAACGTAGACTAAGGAAAGGAAAAAAGGTAATTTTACTTCCATGTTCCAGATGCAAAGTAGCACGGCTGGTACCTCACGAAGTCTAGCAGCTTCATTTTCATTCAGCCTTCCAGTACCTGAAGGGGCTCCAGGAAGGCTGGGGAGGGACTTTTTATAAGGGCAGTTAATGACAGAATAGGGGGTGATGGCCTGAAACTGGAAGAGGGGAGGTTTAGAATGGATATTAGGAAGAAATTCTTTGGTGTGAGGGTGGTGAGACACTGGCCCAGGCTGCCCAGAGAAGCTGTGGCTGGTCCTCCCCGGAAGGGTTGAAGGGCAGGCGGGATG